GCCGAGCTCGAGCAATCTGATCGCCGTCTAGCTGAAGTACGTTTGACCTATGAGAAGAAACTGACAGAGTTGTCAGCTCAAATCAAGAAAATGGAGGCGGAAAGAGATAAAGTCTTGATGGAGGCTGAGGCCAAGAAAACTGACAAGGCCAGCCAGGAACAGGCGAAGGTACGAAAAACTCGGTCTATTACATTGAATGTCAACAAGATTTTGTGTTGTAGAGAATTCGAGACGAATATGAAAGAAAGCTCGCAGACATGAGAAATGAGTTTAGAAAACTCCAAATGGTTGAGAGGGAACATAAGAGGATGCAGGTCAGTTGAGAGCCTCAAAGGACACAGGTATTTAGGGTAAGACTGGCCATTTAGGCGCGACAAGAACGCGAGCGTCAAGAACTGATGAGATATCAAGTTGAGTTGAAAGAGCTGAAGAGGGTTAAGGTAAGGTTTAGAGGGATTCTCATTTAAACAAGTGCGAGTCTCGAGCGATATCGTTTGGAAATCATTATTAAGGTCGATCTGATGAAAAAAATTAAAGAAGAGATGAAGCGTGCCCAGCAGCAACAAAGCAGTAATGCAAAACGATTAGCTGCTTTGGATAAGGAAGCTAGGTGAGAATTTTGCAGGAATTCTTCTTATAAGTTCTTGCAGGGCAGGTGTTAAGTTTACCCCTCAGTCAAATGTTCTCTGTTTCCCGAAAGTGAAAGTAAGAATTTTCTAGGAGACGTGACAACCTCATTCGTCAACTGGAAACGAAAGACAAACAACGGGAGCAGTTTATGAAACGAACGAATGAGGAGATTACTCGTTTGCGAAAAGCTCAGAAAGAACAGATGAGACAGGTCCTTGCTGATTAAAAATTTTGGAATTTTCTGAAATATCCTTTTAGTCAGTGGTGAACCCTACAAGTTAATGATTTAGGCTCGCGCAGCAGCGGCACACAACCGTATGATGACACCAATGCGAGCAACTCCTGCTCGTATGATTCGCACACCTCATGGAAAGGGCCAGCCACCACCGGAAATCGCTTTCTCTCCAAAACAAGCGAAAATGAAGTGGACATTTATCGAGAAGAGGGTCAGTGATTTACGGAATCCATATTTTTTTGTTACAATTTTTTTGGCAAATGAGTTTCTTTAACTTACTGTGGGCCATCATGCTCATTTCCTAAATCATATGAGCTCTTCAAGAGGAAATCGTTTTAATTCAAGAATAGTAAACTGCTTAACTTGGTAACGATTTTATGTAGATGGACATTTTAGATCAAGTTAAGTAGTGTTAAGGACCAGCTACCAGTTAATTCTAGATTTTCATTCGTTACTACTAATAATTAAACAAAGATTCCTTAACCATCTTCTTTGTTGAAGTTTGGGGCAAAAGTAAGTTGGAAAGTTTTGAAATTTGCTGGAGAGGCATGCTAGTCCTTATTGAATATGTTGTGCTAGTAAAATCTTTTGAGCTTTTCTAATAATTGATCAGTTTAATTTCTGTAGGAACTTCTCAAACGCTTTCAAGTTTGCCTTTTGCATATAAAATAATCTTCTCTTGAATATACTGTTTTATTCCAAGAAGGTAATATCAGTTTCAACTAAGGCTGTATTGAAAATATTTCTGGAAGGTAACCAAACC